TACATCAGACAGGCAGCTGTGCTGAATTGAAAATGAGTCTTCAAGTTGGGGTTTCAAAGGTATGTGGTTAAGTCATGCCACTTGTCCACTGTTCAGGCTTGGTGAAGTCAGTTTCTGCTAGCTGTTCTTTAAACCCCACTCTCTGTTTCTTCCTAAGGCACATTATTGCACTATATTTCTCAGCATGTCTTACAGGTTTTTCATGTGACAGAGTCTATCCGATAAAATATAAGCGGAAGAAATGGATGTCTCCTCCAAGCTTGGCCAATAAAAGCTCACAAGCTCCACGGTCTACTACAACATTTCCCCCACCATCCTTCTTTCTCTTCTGACAAACCCAGATAGGAACACACGGTGACAGTGGGAGCCACATTTTGGAGATGATAGTCACTTGAGACTTGGTTTCCAAACGTCAGCATGAATCAGAGTCCCTCCTGATGGTAAATGACCCAAGCATCAAAGGAATACATTTCTTGTTCTCTGATCCACTAAGTACTTAGGGTTTATTTGTTACAGCATTTGGGCTTATACCAATTAATAGAGGGAATAGTAATATCTATTTTGAAGATGAGACAATGTATATAATAACTTAGCACAAAGCCTGGTGAACAAAATACTAGTTGTTATAGTTCTAACAGGGTTTGGATGAGACTAATATGTGAATGTCTTTAAAAAGTAAATAGTGCTCTATAGTATCATATATTTCAGAGCTCTGACTCCTGGGTAGTTACAAGAACTCATGAAATCTTATTTCTATGAAGCCTTTCTTTGGAAGTGAAATTAAGCATACCCTGACCACTTGCACATTTCACTTGTAACCTTTACTACACACATGCACACACAAAACCCTCTTATGCGGGATTTGCTTGCATCTTTATATGCTTTTAAATAGCAATTTGTAATTTAGGCCATTCGTTTTATAGTGTAAGTTTACAAAAGACAAATGTGTAACTTGGTGGACTGCTACCAAGTTAGGCCAGTGGCCAATACAGGTATAGCCTTATGAAAATGCTAGCAATAATGGCAGAGATCCAGAGCTGCAAATGAGGTGAAATATGATTTACTAAGTAAAATGAAAACATCACACATGGTGTAAATCTGTTCTAAAGACCTCTTACTCCAAGGTTGGAAATACAGTCACAAATCCACAAGCAGGAGAGGAGTAATTATAATCACCATTTCTTCCACTTAGAGGAAACCCAAAAACCCTAACTATTAAACTTCTGGCTTCCTTGGCCAGTGTTTCTTACCAGTCCCTGTTCTCATTTCAAAGCATTCGTAATGCACAGAATATGTCTGTCCATTACGACTAATGAGCACACTGAAGTTCACGGACAGCTTGAACAAATTAGTCATCTGCATTCAAATGCCTCCGCTGAAGGTTGTAGGTCCATTATTGCACTGCTGAAGTGCATCTCCATAACTTTTAATATTGAAAAGAATTAGGCTTTACTTATCAAATTTTAGCTGCCATCTGCGGCTTTTAGAAAGGGCACAAATCAACGTATGCTAAATAAAACCACAAACAACAACAAGAAACAGCCACAGAAAAAAACTGACTTCGAGAAGTTTCTCAAGCCTTTTGCCCTCTGTGTTTCTGCTGATCTTGTTGCCTGTTTCAGGTAGGGGTAACATCATGTTAGCTTTTATTTGAAACTTTTTACAAGCCAGCCTGGAGTATGAACAGGTACATGATAGCGTGTTAGTGTTCAATATGTGCTAGTTAAATTAACACAGGTTATAAAGAAAGAATTAATATAATTCTCTCATGGGGGTAAGGATTAGGTAAATGTCTTTGTATGTTAAAACTTGCAAAGCTGTATGCTATATTTTAAGACACATGAAGACAGATCATTCATTTATTCATTCATTCATGCCGCAAGTGTTTTCGTCCTCCGGTATCTAAATGTCAGATACTATGCTCAATACTGGGGGTACTAAGATGAATAAGACACAAACACTATCCTCAAGGAATTCTGTCTAATGGCAGAAACTAAAACAAAGAGTTCAGTATCATAAGTTACATGAACATGAATATAAAATATATCACCTTTGAATACTTAATTCAGACTTTAGTTTCCCTTTGTCTATATGTATAATCATTATTAAAAATTATTTTCAAAGTTGTTTTGCTATTTTGTGGTGTCTTTTAAAGTCTGATGAAAGATAAAATTTCATTTCCTAAGTGGTTAAATTGAAAGTGAATACACAGACAAGTATACTATAGTAAATCACACTGATGTCATGGAAAAACACTAAGTTTTATGGTGTTTTCTAAAACTGTGTTAGAATTTGTTCTTCTCCATGTTTGTACCTTGTTTTCTCGAAAATAAGACAGTATCTTATATTAATTTTTGCTCCCAAAGATGCGCTAGGTCTTATGTTCAGGGGATGTCTTATTTTTCCATGAAGAAGAATACAGTACACATTTATTGTTAAATGAAAATAAAGGAAATTTATTACCTATATATGGTACCGTAGTATGGTAGTTGTCAACTGTGAATCCTACAGTATCAAGAATTTACTCATTTATTCAATGACAATCATGTCATCATCTTCTGGAACATCATCATAACAATCCAATTCCTGAATTTCCTGGTGAATTTCTTGTGACTCCATTTCTTTCAGAATCAGTAGACCAAATTTCTCATGTTTAGCAATAGCACTGTCTTTAAATGAGTGCTTCTTGTCAAGGTAGCCTGCTCGCAGTGCATTTACAATGCAACTGTCAGTGATTTTCTCCCATGAATTATTCACCCAAGTCACAACTTCTTGCAGTTTAAGTTCCACAAAGTTTATGGTAAATTAATTTTCATTCTGAGACAGAGCCTGGGGGGGGGCTTACTTCGGGGAGGGATGCCTTATATTTCACTCAGAAAGAAACCTGTAAGTAGGTCTTATTTTTGGAGGATGTCTTATTTTTGGGGAAACACGGTATTAACTAATCCATTCACCAAGTTTGCATTAATTGGTTTCTAAGTGCTTACTGATTATATGGTAAGCTCCAAGTTTCCTGGTCTTTGTTATATGTGCTCCTCCAATGGTACACCATGGAAACTTGACATATGCTTTATTGAATGAATATTGAAAGAACTGAGGGCAACATGTCAGATTCTGACTGTGTCCTGCCGAATGAGAGTGCCTCTGGCCCACACAGAGTTCATCTAAAACTGGAGGTAATGCTATCCCTGTGACTTCAACACTCTTTAAGAAAACTGAACAGTTTCATCAAAGGAACAGACCTAGAAGAGTAATATTGTCAGCAGATTCTGGAGCTAAAATAGACTATGAATCCAAAACTTTAAACACAATTTCTTTACCACTTTCATATATATATATATATATATATATATATATATATATATATATATACTGCTGATTGTGATAATTAAAAAAAAATCACAACACATACATCCACAAATATTAGCCATGGTTTGGGGGAGCTCCCAGCCACGGCCTGCAAAGCGTGTGCCTCCTCCTTTCAGGCTGGCCATTCACATTATGACCAACAGCCTCTAAGATTCCCAGTCTCTTGCTTTTCAAAATGTTACTCTATTGATATTATTGCTCATATTATTATAAACCAATTGCCAATGCTTCTATTTAACACTCAGTAAAATTTAAATGAAAACGATAATTTTAATACCAAAGATGAGGAACTCAATGACACTTAGGACATGCCTAAATCTTTAATCATACCAAGACCCATTCTTTGATCCTGACTCAAATCAGGGTATGATGGAGATAGGTTTAGTATATGTGCTGCCGAAGCGAGCACAATGGAGATAGGTTTAAAATATCTAGTTTATTTTGAGAAGAACAAGCACTGTACTCTATGATACTTGAATATGCCACAGCAACGTGTAAAGCATAGTTAAAGACTATTGTCATAAATTTCTATATGTCTGTTTCATATACAACATTGTACTGTTACAAAACAATGCTGATGCCTAGATAACTTTGTTCTACAGAGAGCTTCACTGTAATAAAAGCTGTTGCGATAAGAAGCAATCCTTTAAGAAAAAAAAAGTGTTTTATTAGAAAAATCTGAATGGAATGCTCGAAATGAAACATTCTTGCCGCGGCCACTACTTTCTTATTAAGAGCTCCTCGGGATCTTAAGGAAGTGCTTATTTTGTCCAAAATGTGATATTGAGACTTCTCAACTCTACAGAAAAAAAAAGTCCAGCTCTGTAAGCCAGTCTTGCAATTTTGCAAAGATGAAAAAAAAAACGAGGGTGATCATGGAAACGCTTGAGACTGGGGTTTGCAAGTGGTGGAGTTGGACCTCCTAGCCCAGGCCAGCTGCAGCTCCAGGGCCTGAGCCGGGTCCTCAGCGCCAGGCTGCCCTGCCTCCTGGTGCTGCCAACCTCAGGCACCTCCGGCTGCCGGCCCGGGACGGGGACGTCCTTTGTGAACTTGACTTTGAAGCCTTCACGGATTTTTGACATCCATTTTAGAAACAGAGCCCCCGAGTGTGTGCGGGGACCTGTTCCCTCTCGCGGGCTCCTGGGGTCCGGGGAGGCGGTTTGGGAGCCCGGGGAGGGGAGCCCGGACGGACGTCCGAGGAAGGCAGCCCCGGGGGCCGGGCCTCTTTGAAAACTTTCCAGCGCGCGTGCCTCGGCGACGCGCAGCGGTCGACCGGACCCCGCGGCCGCGCCCCCGCGGGGAACCTCTGCCGCCGCCGCCGCCGCCTTGTCACTCTCGCTTTCCGACGCGCCTCCCCCTGGGCCGCCCGCCGCCCTCCCGCCGCTCCCTCCCTCCTGGCGAGCCCGGTCCCCGCGCCGCCGCCTGGGCGCGCTCAGCCCGGCCCGGCCGATGGCGGAGGCGCCCCGCTCCGCCGCCGCCGCCCCGCAGCCCCGCGCGCTGCTCCGCCCGACGGCCCGGCCCCGGCCCCGGCCCGCGCCCTGACCCCGGCGGCGAGCGAGCGCGGCGCCAGCCCCGGCGGCCGGGCAGGAGGGCACCCGCCGGAGGAGGCTGCCGGAGCCGACTTCTCGCCAATGGTCCACAGCGACATGTCCAAGTCGCCTCCCTCAGCGGCGGCGGCGCAGGAGCTGCAGATGGACGCGCCGGAGAGCGCGGCGCCCGCGGGGGCGCTCGGGGCGCCCGCACAGGTAGCGACGGCGCCGCGCCTTCCTCCCTTTGTGAGCCCGGGCGCAGCTCCGGCCGCCCGCGCCCCCTCTCTCCCGAGTCCCCGCCGCCCGCGCCCCTTCTCTCCCGGGTCCCCGCCGCCCGCCGCCCCCTCTGCCCGGGTCCCCGCCGCCGCCTCCTGCCCCCGCGCGCTCCGCCACCCGCTCTCCTTTCTCGGCGCCGGCGACCCCAGCCCTGTTCGCCTGGCCCGGCGCTCCTCCGGCTTCCATCCCCCCCCCCCCCTTTGCTTGCGAAAAACCAGTGGGAAGGGGCGGGAGGGGGACCTCCCGGTCTCCCCAGGCAGCCCCCCCGAGTAGCTCGGGTCCGCCCTCCTCGCCCCTTCCCGGGAGCGGCGCCTGGGGAGACATGAACCAGGCGAGCGGACTGGACCTGCTCAAGATCGTGAGTCTGGGGGTGGGGGGCGGAAGGGGCCCCACTTCCCAGGCTCTTGCTCCCGCGCCGGCCCCCCGGGATGGGCTCTGAGCGGGGTGGGGGCGAGCCCCGCACCCCGGCGCAGCCCCGCCGCCCTCCTCACCTGGGCGCTGTGCAGCCTGACTGCTCAGCGCTGGTCCCCGCCTCTGCCCGGGTTTGCCTAGACCCCTTGTTCCTTTCATTTAAGAAGAGAGCGAGCTGGGGCCTTGAAAGTTTTTATTTTTCCAACCCCCCTTCCCCCCATGCCCCAAATGTTAGCTATTTTAGAGTTTCGGGACCACATTTTTCCTCTGATGAGTTTTAGTGGTTTCTGGGAAAATTCCGGTTTGCTGCTGTTGTGAAATAGGAGATGTGAGTTGTAGGCGTTGGGTAATGAGAAGGTGGCTTTTACGTAAGGCTTGGCAGGTACAGTGTGGATTACAGACACCTCCGGGTCTCAGCGGCAGGGAGTCTCTCAACTTCTGTCCCAGCAGGAACATGACTGAAGGCTCCTAGCTGCGGCGGTGGGGGGGGGGGGGGGGGGAGGGCTGCTTGGCTGTGCAGAGTGGGGACGTGTAAACTAACCACCTGCATGAGCATCTGGCCTCAGCCAGAGCACCTGAAGTCTTTGTTCCGGACTCCTGGTTTTATCTCCTCGCTTACCGGGTCAGAGGAGAGTGAGAAATGTTCTCAGAGCCCTCCAGGACAGATTCCAGGAAGAAGGTCTTGAATATTGATAGAGAAAAGAACTGTCAGACCTTTTTTCTCTTTGATCTCCCTTCAAGAAAATATATATATTTAGTTTTTATTTTCATGATGAAAATAGAGTTCCTGAATTTCTAAAGATCAAAGTGAGGGCTGATAGAAAGCATGACTGCATCCAGATAAGAGATACTCATTTATTTAGAGACTTATATAGCTAAGACAAATAGTTTAAAAAGTAAGTCAACGAATATTTCTTGTATAGCTACAGTGTGGAAATAATTCAGATGTGAATTTCTGTCTTCAAAATAAGTGACATTCTAGTAGCTGCAAGTATGGCACATGTGTAGCAAGAGTCTGGCACGGGACTGTCAGAGGAGCCCGAATCCCCTGTGGTTCCCAGCACTAAAGGTCACCAGCACTCTACTCCGAGTAACCATGGAGGAGGGGGCCTTTGAGAAGAGACTTCAAGGGCAGGTTAGATTTCAACAGAGATTTTCAGAGAGAAGGTAGGGAACTAACTCTGCAGAAAGCAAAGTCACAGAAGTTAGAAGCCTTCAAGCAGACATTTATAATCCCTAGTTTGAAAAGAGTGTGGAAAATTACAGATAGGGCATGCTTAGGCATAAGACTGACAAGGTAGTTTTGAGCCCACATTTTAGAGGCTTTGAAACCTGCAGTGTATTAAATAATAAAGAGCCCCGGATGGGATGCAGGGAAGGACATGTAATAGCTCATTCCAGAGAGTCACCTGGGAAGGTTCTAGAAGATAATTTTGAGTCTGAGGAGTCCAGAGGTGGGGCTACCCAAAGGGAGATTGATAGAACAGTTTGGACAAGAAGTACTAGGCTAAATTAAAGAAAGGAAAGGATAATGGATCTGACAGATCTTGCATGAGACATTGCAAAGACTCACTCTGTAGTAACTGGCAAGCAATTGCATAAATCTGTGAGAGAGGAGAGAAGGGAGGAATGGATATTATATGCAGGTAAGAGGTATAAATATTCAGCTTCACCAGCATCCATTCTCTTGCTTTCTGTACCTTGCAAAAATGAAAGCAGTTTTCCTGGAATTGAGTCTGTGGCACATTTATTATCGGAGGGAAACACTGCCTTGTTTATTTTCTCTCTAATAAATCATGGCATCATAGGGCTGTGAGCAGTTGGCAGAGGCATCTCTTCCATCTCTCCGGACAGGCCAGCAGGGAGGGAGGGAGGAAAAGAGCTGTCTCAGGCGCACCCCCCTTTTTTGTGACACCACGCAATTGTAATTCTACTCAGAAATGAAATTTTCTTTACAAAGGGCACCTCTTGAAACCGTCGTTGCTTTTAAGAATCCTTTCTATTTCGCCTCTAGGTTATACTGCAAGATCCGTAGGAGCAAAGCAAGAGAGGTAGATTCACACCCTCTGCTCTTATGCCGTTTTTTAGGTCAGAAATCCTTCTTGGGGAGTGGGCGGCTCCATACACCCCAGCCCCCTTCTCCAGTCAGCACACTGTCACAGACAAAACGGATGTGGGGAGTGGCAGTCTGACTGCAAGTTCTTGAGAGTTCTGATGTAAGCAGATGGCATCGCTTTTTAGGTAACTTGTTGCACTTGGCTGCAGTCAAGGTGCTAACTTAGGACTCCCCCTCCAAGGCTCCACACCTGTGCTGTCCACTCAGCAGCCCACAGCCACGTGTGATTTCCGAGCCCTCGAAATGTGGCTCCTCAGAACTGAGAAGTGCTATCCATGGAAAATACACTCCGGACTTTAGAGATTTAATATAAAATAAGGTCCATTTCAGCATCTTGTTAATGATTTTTTGTATTGATCACATGTTGCAATGACAATATTTTGCATATATTGAACGAAATAAAATGCATTGTTTACAATTAATTTCACCTGTTGCCACTTACCTTTTTAATGTGGTTGCTAGAACATTTCCAGTACCCGTGTAGCATGTATTATATTTCGGTTGGACGGCTTGTGTTATATTTCTATTGGATGGCGTTATGCTAAAGTACGGCCCTGGGAATCCTCCGGGGAGGTGAATAAATCCCGTAAGCAGGCTGGGTGGATGGGCAGTACCCAAAAGGGGCTGAGAGTAGAATGGCTATGGAGGAGGAAGTAGATGAGAAACCAGAGTAGTAGCTCAGCAGATTAGGCCTCAGAGAGAGTGTAGCTGGCACCTCCAGTCACACCTGAAAATGAACAGACAGGAACCAGAGGGCCTGTTTGTTTTGCTCCTAGCAACAGAGCCCAGCTGGGTCCACCCCAGCAGAGTTTGCCAGATGCTTTTCAAGCATGTTGTGGTAATGCAGGCCAGGCCGGTAATGGCAACATCCTGATTCAAGGGGCTGGAGCAGCAGCCATTCTCCCGGGGCTCCTGAGCCAGGACTATACCGTGTTCCAGAAACATTCTGAGGTCTAACAGCCTTTTGCAGTCTCCAAATATAATGGTCATGGGTCCTGTGTTTTATGTTCTGCTAAAGCCTTCACTCCTGAGCCCAGCCAGTTTCCTCTTGAATGGCATTTTTGTTCTGGTGTTGCAAGGGCGAGATTTAGAAGCATGCCGATCAGCCTTTCTGAGTGTGTTTTAAAATGCGAAATACAATATCTGACTGTTTGGGTGATCCGAGGTTTAGTTGATTTTGTAGTTTCATGTTTTTCTTTTTGTCTTTCTTTTTATGTAAAGACTTAATGTACCTGTTGCTGCATTTAATTCTTTTGAATTTATACAGAATATAGCCTTGGTCCTTTCAAGACAGACTGAGCAAAATAGGTTAACCCTGTAGGGGGTGTTGGCGCTCTTTATTAATTTTGTAACTGTGAGACATACATTGTATCCTGCAAATAGTATACTTACTTTCACAATTACAGGGAGTTAAAATGAATCGTGATACCACTTCAAGCCATTGGGTCTGTCTTAGAATTCTTTCCAAGCCTGGCTGAAGGTAGATTGTGACGAGGGCAAGATTGGACCCGGCCTGCACCCACTCTCCCTGCCCCTGCACTTTTCCACGGGGCATGTCTCTGCTTCCTGACCCGGCCCCTCTTCCCTTTCCCATCTGCCAGGCCTTGAACAGAGCTCTATCTACTCTGCCTCCCAATTCCTTTCTGCTTTTATGTAAACTGATCCATATAGAAAACAACTTACGTTTCTGTTTCCCTCTTTCTAGGTAGTTAAACTTCTCTCCTAGTAAAGGATCTAACAACCTCATTGATACTAAGCTGTTGATAAATGAAATTTCACATCTGATTCCTCTATGGATGGTTTTGGCTTTGTTTGCTTTGGACCTTAAGATGAGGAAAGTCATCAGTTCAAAGGGATAACTATCAAAGAATGCTAACTGAGAGGGATAAAACTAATTGTGGGCCTCAGCATTCTGCTCAGGTAGGAGAGTTGTTACCATATCCATCCATCACAGAAGCAGCACCCTCCTCAAAGCTGCCCCCAGGGCTGCCAGGCCTGCTTGCTGTGTACAGCTGTGTACAGCTGTGCTGAAATCTCCACTTCACAGGCAACTTGTACCATTAGCTACTGCTATCTACTTCGGTCATACAGAAATTTGATTTCAAATTTGCTTTTACAAATGTGAACATTTAGTTGCTGATTTTGAGACTCCAGTTTAGTTTTAAAAGTATTTAGTATCAACAGAGACATTCATTTACATGATGAATGTTGGATATCTTTTTAATATATCATTTATATATTGGTGAAATTTTTTCTTTTTCTCTCTCTCTTTTTTTTTTTTTTTTTTTTTTTAGTTTCTGAAATCTTAGCTTGGTTGATATTTTAGAAGACGTAAAGAAATTTAAATATACGGTTTTCTTTTTTTCTTTTTATGCTCTGGTGACAATTTATTTTTTATTGATCTGCACATACCTAATAAGCAATGAATGAAAATTACTGACTTTTTAGATTGTGTTCCAAGAAAGACATAGGGGTCTGCATGTGTCAGAGAGAGAGTATTATGGGTTACACTCTGCACTCTGGCCAAACCCCTTTCTCTTTCCCGTTTACTTTTTAAAACCTGATTGTTAACTGTGTCTATATCAGGTGTTCATATATTGTTGTTGCAAAAAATTTTTTTTAAAAAAAATTAGTCATAAAAGTAGTTGCGCTTGAAATATAGCACCTTAACTAAGAAAACTATACTTCTTTCCTGCCTGTTTCCATTTAGGAGAGATTTAGCATTTACTTTAAAAAATTTTTTCTTCAGATGTTCCATTCTAATCCTTATTTTCAAAGATTTACAGTAACTAAAAATAAAAATCATTTCAGTAAGATGGACCTAACTTTAAATGTGCTTTGGATTAAAGGAAACTGCATTTTTCAATGGCAGTATAAATTTTCACTAACATTTTTACAGTATGTAAAAATAGACCATTGAACCATGTCAATACCAGAAACATTCACTTGTATTCCAGATGATGTTTCAATTCTTTTTTCCAAATCCTGATATTATCATAAAAAAATAACTAGTCACTGAGTAGTCACTCTACAGTTAAAAATAAAAAAAAGGAGACTATAGCCGAGAAATTACGACTGAAATTAGTAAGGGAGAAAAATAGAAGTATAATTAAGCATATCTATTTATTTGGGCTTTTGATAAATGTGATCTATAATGAATAGGAATTTGCTGTAACACTGTGAGGGCATGAACAAGTTAATAATTTGAATAAATCATTTTTCATAAATGTAATTGAAGGATGCTATCTTTTTCTAAAAACTATCGCTAGTTTGCAAACAATTCAATATACCATGGCCTTTTTCTTTTAGTGTGCAAACTGTATGTTAGTACAATTGAAATTTGTGATAATCCAATATAAATACATTACATGGGTAGCTAAATACACCTGGAATAATGTTTATGAACAGTATCCCCAGGGGCCTAGAAAAATTAATGTAGTTTTTAAAAATGCATCTGATTTCTCTCAGAGAACTGCAGCCTCCCCTGTGACTGAATATCTTAAATATGCTGTGGTCTCACAGCGCCTGTTGTGCAATTGTGAACAGCCACGAAAAGGCTTACACACCGAAGCAGCTGACTAGTGAAGTGTATTTATCATGAAAAGTCTGAACCATATGACAATAGCATTTCAAAGACGCGCTTTTCACACATTTTGACATGGTACTGGAAGGCCACCTGATAATGGGATGGGATTATATTTGGTCTTAGCTCTCAAAGATAATTTATGCTTCTCAGGGAAAAAAAATATATATATTTAATATACATTTATACTTCCCACCCCCAAAGACATATGTTAGGTTCAAAAATGCTTCCTAGGTCACATGTATTTTTTCATATGGAATAATGTACATTTTTTAATTTTAAGGAAATATTCATACTGTATTTTAACATTCTTAGGCCTTGGAAGACACTTCTGTCCAAACCTTTGCATAATAATTGGAAAAGGAAGAACATTGCTGAAAGAATGTTATTTTTCAACAGTTTACTGAATAATGTTTACACAAGTAAGAAGAATAAGCTGTTAAGTGAGGAGAACCTTGTATAATACATTATGAAAGCCCAGCCTCGATGATCTTTCTTTTTATGAAGTTGAGAGTTAATTAAATGCCATGGAAACACATTTGTATTATATAAATCCCTTAGATACTTGGAAGAGAACAAATATATTTAAGAAAGGTTTTTGCTTTAAGATTATACCACCCTCTCTCTGATTGCAAATGCATCTAAATTACTCATAACACAAATGTTTGTACTGTAATGGGTTTCAGCTTGCCTAAGTGCTATGTATATTATGGTTCATATTTCCATTTTAATGAAAACCATATGAATATGTAAAATATAACAAAGCAGGATTTTCAAAACCAGAACATGGTCATTTTGAAAAAGTAAATTTTGTAAATTCTGATAATCTAATGGAGTCTCTGTGAGCCTGATCATTCTAACTATCCTATATAATAAAGAGGCAGTATGCAAATTGACTGTCACCCTCACAAAGACGGCTGCCTACAACCAGGCCAGCAGGGGGCTTAGTGAGGAACCACCAAACGACTCAACAGCAGGCTGTGTGGGGTGACCAGGCTAGTAGGAGGGCAGTTAGGGGCAACCAAGCCAGCCGGGGGAGTGGGAAGGAACAGTAAGAGGAAATCATGCCAATAGGGTAGGCACTTAGGGGTGAACAGGCTGGCAGGGGGAACAGTTGGGGGTGACCAAGCTGTTGGCGGGGAGGGGGAGCAGTAAGGAGTGACCAGGCCAGTGTGTGTGTCTGTGAGCGGAGTGGGGGAAGGGGAGGAGGTAGTTGGGGCAATGTGGCTCACAACAGGGGCAGTTAGGGGTGACCAGGCAGCAGGGGGAGAGGGGGCGGTTAGGGGTGACCAGACAGGCAGACAGGTGAGCATTTAGGAGTCAGCAATCCAGGATTGTGAGAGGGATGTCTAACTGCCTGTTTAGTCCTAATCCCTGGATGACCGGCAGTCGGACATCCCCCAAGGGGTCCCAGATTGGAGAGGGTGCAGGCTGGGCTGAAACACACGAATTTCATGCATTGGGCTTCTAATATTATATACTTTAGCCCAATTTCCCTCTACCCTTCCAGCCCTAATGTGGGTATGTTTTTTTCAGTATATTATATTATATGTTCCAGTATTTTACTAAACTAGGTATCTGTTGCAGGAATATTCCTGCAAGACTTCAGGCAGGCTTCCCTCCCCTCCCGCCACCCCACCTTTCCTGCTACCTCCCGCCTCGGCGGCCTTGTGCACCACACTGTGCCTCTTGCCCAGCCCTGCCCCTCATGCGCTGCCAGTGCTTCCCCTCCAGAAGCCACCACAGCCACTTTGCTTTCCACTTTCCCTCCCTCTTCCTTCTATGCTGTCTTCAATCTTTACTCCTCCCTCCCTCTGTGTACACAAATTCACTGCCATCTTTGTTGGGTTAATTTGCATACTCACTCTGATTGGCTGGTGGGCGTGGCTGGTGGGCGTGACCTGTATAGCAGAGTGATGGCTAATTTGCATATTACTCTATTATTAGGTTAGATGTTATGAAATATGTTATTTTATTATTTAAAATAACTGTCAGGAAAGGCTGAGAAGACTGATGCTTGGACAGGTTAGAAAATATATTCAAGGATCCCAATCTATGTGCATGTGACTATAAGCTCAGTGGTGAGCTATTTTTCACTTACATCTTAATGTTAAATATTCACAATAACTTTATCTGTGCCTAAAATTAAACATGGATTGATGCATAGTTTATTCTTAGTGCTTTCAGTGTAAACTGTAGATAGAGTAGTAAAAGCAAGTTCATTTGTATATGTCTGTGTTTGGCCTAATCTTGTTATTGAAACAAATTGTCCTACCTTTAATGTTCTGTTCTTATATACTTAATTTTTCATTAGTATTATTTCATAACATTTATTTTTCTTGCCTTCTCAAGAAAATCACTAAGTAATTAAAAAGCAAAATTTTCACATCACATTCAAACATTACAAACATGGGCCAGAACATTTTATAAATACTTTAATTTCAATGTGTTTCGCTAGCACTTACATAGCTATTTCAACATTTCTCAAAGCAATCTCTACAACCATACAAGAGTATTAAGAATCAGTACCATGCTTCACTCATGCTTCATGTAGTCCTACATATATAAATTTAAAGGCAATCAGAGTTCGTATTGCAGAATGTTCTTCAGCCACCATATGCATTTCTTGCAAGTGCCACTCCAATAAAAGCGTCTCCATGTAATTACCAATTAAAGCATGAAAAGAAGCAGAAAAATGCATGCTCGGCTCTGCTGGGCAGCAACATTGCATTATGCATGAACCTATTGCTTTCTTGCTCGCTAAGAGTTTTGATAAGTTGCCTTTCCTCTCCTGGTTACTCCTGCTGCCCCAGGCCTCCCTGCACTTAATTACTTATTTTTAAAGGCTTCATCTATAGTGGCTTTTGCCTCTTGACAGCCGATATGCTAACAGCATAAATTGTTTTAATTCACCAGTTATTGTCTTTGTCTAAACAATTTTCTTCCCTATATATACTCAGTGATTTGTGATTCCTCCAATAATAACTTTTCAGTCATGTCCACATGATGGCAAATCATTATGTGTTTTGGTCTTTGACGTTTTCTAGACCTAGGCCTAGGTTCCTGTGAGATGGTCTAACAGTAATCTCATTTCTCTCTTTTTTTTAGTCATATGGAAAAGGAGCTAGAAGGAAGAACAGATTTAAAGGATCCGATGGGAGCACGTCATCTGACACTACCTCAAATAGTTTTGTTCGTCAGGTAAGGGAGCTCTTAAATTCATGGTTTGGAGAAGCATATTTAAATGAATTTTGTTTTCTTTAAGGCTGGCTTTTATACTATTGCCAAAGCAGCAAGAGCACAGCTGTTCTTAGTTCTAAATATTCCTCTGAATCCTATTAACAACTATGCCAATCGTCAGGGCAGGTTCCTCCTCAAACCCTGCCCATTGCACTAATTGTCAGGGCCGAGCTGGTGTGCCAGGGGCTGGACCTTCTTGGATGCTGGGTGGTAGATGGAGAAGCCATGAGATGTTGTGGGTGCATAAGAATGAGTCTTTATTGTAGAAGCCAGTGGCCATTGCCATTAGACAAAACAGTTCTCTAAGCAGCCCATAAAACAGGCAGCTGCACACCCACTGATAATAAATATTTCTTTCTCATAAAAGCAGCAGTATCTTCTATACCCACAGTTATTATCTGAGCAGCCGTACACTGCCCCTAGACTCACTGCCTCACATAGTAGCGGCACCTGAGCTCTCCGTTCTTGCGTCTCTGGCCTCTCCCCTCTCTCCAGCCTTTCCAGCTTCTCATCGTGGCAGCACTCTACACTGGCTGGTCAGTAACATATCACACTACTTAGACAGAAGGGACTTCCTGCCAATAGCTATATCAATCATTTTGGCTGCAGCAAGGTACGCGTGTGCACTATACTGTGAGATCACTGTGACCATGCACCTGCTATTGGTATCTTAGTTTTGACCATTCTGATTAAGATTCCCATGTTCAGAGTAGCCTTGGCCATTCCTGAGTACTAACAACAAGGCCTTGACTACTGTTGTCTGGCATGGTTCCCACAGCTATCATCCTTAAGCTTTGTATAGTATTATTGTATGTACTTTTAGTTGAAGTGAAAAGTGTGCTGTTTTTGTCATAATTAAAATATTTAAATTTTAAGTGAGACTATAATAATTACCCTCTTTCCTGCAAGTTGGAAAAAGGCAAATGTAAAATTCCTTACGGAGGATTTCTTCCTGACAGAAGGAGTGAACTCTAGCAGAAAGGATTGCAGATTTTGGAGGTTCTTTTTGTTTGTTTGTTTGGTTGCTTGTTGGTTGTTTGTTTTTTCAGGGATGGGGCAGGCAGTGAGCATCCATGTCCCACCTATGAAGTTGTGATACTGGCATTTCTTTAACTTGTCTTCTGATTCTCACGTGGCATTTGGATTATAAAAGAGAAACTTGTTCTTGGTCTTGATATGGTTGAGGCTACTAAGGTTAAGTAGAGCATGAGTTATTGTTGTGACGTGATTTAAACTGCCCTTGGAGATGTAGTCTTTATTTCGGATAAACATGTGGTGTATTCCTGCTAAGCAGTTTGGAATTGTCCCCTGAAACTTATAGCTATCTATATGGTAACAGAGAGGGCTTTAGTTACTAGAGGAAGAACGCCAGTTCTGGTTGGTGTGCTCATCAGTCATCTCTTGTCAGCAACAGCTCACTCCCCAAATAGTGGTCGCCACCTGGAAAAGCTGCTCGGTTTCTTTGGGAAGGAAAGCCACTCTCCCCTGTGCTTCCTGTGTCCCTTCCCCATGGTCCTCTCCCCATGAGTTACCAGCCATTAGGCTTAAACTCGTTCACCTGCTGCATCCAAGGGGCTTTTATCCTTGGCTGGTTGCTGCCTCCTTATGCAGATGGGGCATGATGCCTTTTCGCCCTCCAGTTCCTGCTTGCAACATCAGGGTCACCAAAGGTATGTCTGAATGATTTACAGGCAACGGGCAAAGTTTTGGTTCTGCTTCTTGCCACCGGGGAATTGTTTTAGTTTTTAGGAAAAGAGTTAAGAAGGAGCAGAGCTTGTTTTTGCTAAGAAACATTTAGAAAGAAAGAGGAAGTGAAAGCCAAGCGAGGCCCAGCCTGGAGCCAAGTTCCACTGGCGCTGGGAAGGATGCGAGATGAGCTGGAGGTGTGTGCATCGGCCTGAGGCCACCGTGGGCAGAATTCCCGAGTTTGGTCCTGATCACGAGAGAAGGGCGGGGGAGGTGGTGACTCCGCTTAGGTGAGTCTGTTAAAGGAAGGTCACCTGAGTCCTTGTCCATGTCTACTCTGCCCCTGAGGCAAAGAGACTGGACCTGGAGAGCTAGAATACACAACTCTGAGTCATCACCTCGGGGATGGACATCAGAGGACCTGAGGCAGAAATAAGTAAGCTGCTTGTCATTTTGCGTGGCTTTGCTGGAGCTAAGCCACACAGAACGACAAGCAGCTTGTTGAAATTGCACGGAACGAAACACTGCTATGTTTCAAGTGAGCAAGATATTGGAAAATAGGAATAAAGAGTATAGAGCTCATTCTTGCTCATTTTCGCTCTGTAAAAATGGTATTTAAAAGCAGTCTACATTCCCCTTCTTCCAGTTGTCTCTTGGGATGTGACTCCTCCTTTCATGGAGCCTTGAGAACTTAATTCAAAAGGCTGGAAGGGTCTGCCACACTGCATGTAAATGAACTGGAATGTGTTTTCCCTCATAACAACTTCCTTTTGATATGCCTTCTTGGTGATGTATGTGAGGTTCTGTGCTTGAAACAATTAAAAGTAATAAAGAGAGCTGTTAAACTAATTAATGTAAATTTAGATCTATGTAGCCTAAACTTGTGTGAGTGTGTAGGAAGACAAACACACACACACATACACACACGCGCGCGCGCACACACACACACACACACACACACACACACACACACACACACCATTGTCCTAAAGGCTCATGTCTTTGACTCTCAGTAGAATGAGGTGTTTGCCATGGCATGAATTTTGGGTTATGGGGACACAGGCATCAGGAATCCTGGAGTGCCTTCTTGCTTCTGTCACAGAAGGAAAACCATTGTCTTTGGCTGAGTTCAATGCTGCATTTTACTTTGGTAAATAAACCTCAGTTCTGTTAAAATGGCATGCATGCCCTAACGGTTAGGGCCTAACCTGTTTGACTCAGTGGATACAATGTTGGCCTGCAGACTGAAGGGTCCTAGGTTTGATTCCTGTCAAGGGCATGTACCTTGGTTACAGGCACATCCCCAGTAGGGAGTGTGCAGGAGGCAGCTGATTGATGTTTCTCTCTCCTCATTGTTTCAAACTCTCTATCCCTCTTCCTTCTTCTCCGTAAAAAGTCATTAAAATATATTTTTTTAAATGGCATTCATATTTTGCTCCTCTTTCAAAATAGGCAAAAGCTACCATTGGCACAGCTAAATATTTAATAGATTATAGTTCAATCAGAATATTTGCAGAAATGCACAGATAATAACAAGAAGCATAAGTTAGATGAAGGAATTTGAAAGAACCCCTTTTAAGTATTTTCTTTTTATCATAGGCAGATGTTTTGTTAAACAAGTAATTTGTGTCAGTGTTCAGGTACATCCTGGAGACATTGTGGGTTCAGGCCCGGACCATCGCACCATGGCAATAAAGCAGGTTGTAATGTTTTGCTTTGTTTTTTTCCGGTGGAGGGTCTTGCCTTCAATATGTAAGAAACACAACATTTTTGAGGCACAGCAGAGCAAAGCACAATAAAACAAAGGTGTGACTGCACTACTTTGCATTTGTGTTCCAAACCACAGAGCTAAGGAAGACTTGTAGGAAGATTTTAGGATGAATGCATACAAAGTTAGTCTTCCTTTAACTTTCTTCTTTATAGAAAGGTGAGGATGTTCTTAGCATAGTAAATGTTCTCTTGACCTCATGATTTAAAAACAAAGAAAAATCACACACACACACACACCCCAACATCATTCCTTTACTGCTTTCATCACAAGTTGCATCACCACCCCAGCATACTGTGCCACTCTTATTGGCAATCAGAAGAATTAAAAGAGTCTCCAGTTTTTTCCTTTCTCCCACAAAAGTCAAAGAAACACACTCTCTTTGTAATCCTGAAAGTCTTTTTCTTCTTTTTTCACTTGGATGTGAACTCAAGTCTGAATCACCTTCAACATCATACTGGTTGGTTTTGAAATGCAACAAAGGCTGTGAATCTTCCTCTGTGAATCTGGGTAAAGTCAGGTGCACATTCAGCATCCAGTGTTACATTAGACACCTGTACAAATGGTTTTTCAGCATATTAAGTTATTAAGGGGCAGAAAGTGTTAAACATGACTTCTAGGCACCTTAGGTAGAATTTATGAAGATTATTATTCAAATAACTTATGTACTAAAAGGTGATCATGGAATGACTATTGAGATAATTAAGATATTGAGGTTGTCTTAGATCCTTATATATAAACTTTGTACTTTGGCTCTGTGTTATGAACAGATATATCAATAAGAGACCTTCATTTATCATAATAATAAACCTGGAAAAGCAACCATTCTTTTTTTTTAAAATATATTTTTATTGGTTTCAGAGAGGAAGGGAAAGGGAGAGAGAGAGAGAAAACATCAATGATGAGAATTATTAATTAGCTCCCTCCTGCACGCCCCCTACTGGGGATGGAGACTGCAACCTGGGCACTGACTGATCTAATGGAATAGTGATCTGGTTCATAGGTCAACACTCAACCACTGAGACACCCTGGCAGGACAAAGGCAACCATTCTTAAAATCCTTTGCATTTAATTCCATGCATAAGTTTATAGTCTATTAAGATAATTAAGTTTTCATATAATTTAGCTCTTTCCTCCCACTTCATTAAAAATAAAACAATAATAATAAAAGAATTCCTGACATCTGTTGTCTGAAAAGTTGGTAAGGAGAGAAGGAGGGGCGACCAGTTTATTTTGGCATCAGGACCTAACCAAGTCAGTTGATTTACTGGACAAAAAATTGGTGGACAGGAGTAACAAGGCCTGCCCAGCACTGAAGGATAGAACATGCATGCTGTTCTTTTCTAGAGATTGTGCAAAAACTACGAACTGTATAAATTCTTCGATACTGCCAAGGTCAGGGAAAACTATGTACATCTGTAAGTACTAGTCATCAAAGTTAAAGCAGCTTGTGGAGGGTGGGAAGGGGGTGTTTGCAACTCTTTCATCAGCTTGGTTACCTCTTCCC